GGCGACTCGGAGTCCGACGGCGATCGAATATCAGCAGGCTCGCAGTCGTCTACTTCGGGAGCGGCGGCATGCTCGAGAGCACTGTACTGGCGAACTGGAATCGAGTCTGGCGTTGGCACGGTGCAGTAAGAAGTTGCGACACCTTCGACGAGCGCATCAGGACGAGGCGACTGAGCAGTTGATTGATGAACTTAGCGCTGCCTGGGGTGCTAGACAGCATGCCGAGGTGTGGGGGCTAGCGCATGAGCTTGCTGGGCGTTGTTCTGGACCTCGGCGTCGGCGTTTTAATGTTGCAGAAACTTATGCGCCCAGGACGGACGAGATTCGTACGCACTTCAGTGGCCCTGGACATGCTGGGGGTTTCTCTGCGGTGCCTGTGGACTTTGCTGACTATCAGGCTCGGCTACTTGAGGATCTGCCGCCGCCCGCATCCTTCGGCGGCGACAACTTCTTGCACGTCGAGCAGGGCCGTGGTGATCTGGCTGCGGTGACCGAGCTTGCTGCGAAGGCCCCTCGCCGAAAGGCGGCGCCTCTGCATTCTGTCCCGTCGGAGATCCTCATGCTGGTGCTAGATCCGAATCGGAAGTTCGACGGCACGTATCGAAAACCACGCCGGGCACGAAACGACGACGGAGACGAAGTTGAGGATCCCGCTCCCCGTTCCCCGATTTGTTCGGGGAGCGCTGCCAGGGACGCGATGCCCAGAACATGTTGGGGAATTGGACCCCGAGCTGAGTTTGTCCCTCGTCATAGGCTAGCTGGTGATAGGCGTGGTCTAGGCACGGAGGCGGCGGTTATCTCAAATGAGCTGAGTGCGAAAGCTTTGCAGAAAGTATTTCATCATACTCGGCGTGTGCAGCGGACGCCTGTAGTGTGGCATCACTCTCGCGCGACGGGCTTAGACAAGCACAACAATAAGGAGGGCTTCGCTGCACGACGCTATATTCACGGATTGTGTCGCATGGGGGTGCTGTGGTACAAGGCGCAGTTGACCAGAGGCTTCCCTGATGATGTGCCCGTTCGTGAGCATGGCTATCACATTGGTCGTAGCAGGGAGGGTGCTCTTATCTGTCAGGAGGTGCTGCTGGCTCGACTTCGTCTGCTGGGAGTCTCGACGGTCACGTCTAAGGGAGATATGGCTAACGCTTTCGGCTGCTCTGCGTTTCCTGCTCTTCGGTCAACTGTTTCATCCTCCATCCAGCCTGACTCGCAGTGCTACTTCAACCAGCGGCACGAGACGAGCACCTTCACCATCTGCGGGGTCGACGGTGAGCAGACGATGCATAACCTGTGCGGGGCCTTCATGGGCGACGCGCCCGCGGCGGTCTTCTTCGCGCGCACCTTTCGGCATCCCGTGCAGCGGTGGCTGGATCTTCTTCGTGCTCAGACTTGGCACGGGCGGCCTCCTGTCCGTCCTGAGACTCACGCCGAGTGGGTCGACCAGGAGATTGTGCCGCCGTCGCCGCCTGCTGATCCTGATCGTACGTCGTGGCCTAGCGAGGCGCTGTGCACGGCCTGGGTTCCTATCCTCCAGCGCCCCGTGGACCTGTCGACGCGGATCTACGCGGACGACGCGAACAAGACGCACATCGTCTCGTCGGCCAAGAATGCTTTGTTCACGCTCGAGCAGTCACATGTACACTTGAGTGCTTCGTTATCGTCGGATGGGTATTCTCATAATGCTGGGAAAAGTTGTGTCTCTCCCTCCTTTGTGGGTCCTCGGTCGAAGGAGTACAATGCTGCTGTGTTCGGGGGTGCGATTCGTCTGCCAGGGCAGGTCCAGTTCGACAACATTGCGTTGGGTATTCAAACGTCGGTGAATGGAGGAGTGCAGGGAGAGCTTCAGCGTCGTATCCTGGCATGTCGGAGAGGTTACTACTCGATGGGGAGGTTCTGGGCAAAAAACCGAGTCTGGCGATTCACCCGCATCGTTTTTGGCGCCATCGTCCAGGGGGCCCTCTTGTCGGGCTTGACCACGCTCGTCCTGTCGGAGGCTCAGGAGCTGCGCCTCGACCGTGTGCTGATCGGCTTCGCTCGAAAAATCCTCGGAGGTGATGCTTGCCTAAAGGTGGAGGTGAAGGATGAGGAGGGCCAGGTGGTTTTAGATGAGCAAGGTAAGGCAGTCGTTCGCTATCGAGCTCTCTCTGACGCCGTGGTCTTTCGTCGCGTCGGAGTCGCACCTGCCCGAGTTGAGCTCCGTGTTAGGCGGCTGCGTCAGTGCCAGAGGTGGATCCGACACCCCGAACGGCATCCACAGGAAATTGGCGCGATCTTTGGTCAGTTACCGCTCGATGTTCATCCCGCACTGTGCGCACAGGGCTTCCTGCACGAGCGCGCGAACACATACGCCATACGCTTCGCGTCGGACATCCTTGTCTTGGTTCAGCGGTCTGAGGCTGAGTTGCTTGAGTCATGGCTGTTCACGGGTCCCGCGGATGAGCCCCATATGAGACTCTGTGTACGGGCCCTCTTCATGGACGGGGATCTTCGGGAACAATTT